GGCATAAGAATAATATGATATGCGCAACCTCTTCGGGCTCTGCAAACTGCCCTGTCGGAACATTCCTTTGGTATCTGAGAAATGTCAGCGCTATGTCCGCCACATAAGAGAATCACAGTATAACTCACTCCTCTCGAACCTTGTCATCCGCCCAGGCCTTCTTGCCCAGGGCTGTCCAAACAGGGCCTGGACTGACTGTATTGGAGGTGATGCCGTGCTTTGCCCATTCATTGGCTTGGCATTTTGTCAAGCCCTGGAGTCCGGCCTTGGAAGCGCAGTAAGCGCCATGATTGTCCAGCGCTACATGGGCAGCCTGGCTGCTAATGTTGACGATTCTCCCGCCAGGGCCGTCTGGCTTCTCGGCCTTTGCCTTGATGTAGAGCCGAGCAAATGCCTGGCCGGTCAGAGTAGGGCCATATAGGTTGATCATGTAATGGCGCAGAATATCCTCCGGTGTGGACTCCTCGAGAGGGCTCAAGTTGACATAGCCGGCACTGTTGACCAGAAAGCTAGGGAAGGCGGCGTTGTCCGCAGCGATGGCGTCAAACGCTTGTTGGACAGACTGGGGGCTCGTGATGTCGCAGACATAGGTCTTAATATACGAGTAGTCTTTTGAGCTATACACCTCTTCTAGAGTCTGACCAACCTTGTCTGCCTCAAATGGAGCATAGAGGAGTGCCAACTCTGCCCCTTGTTCGCGAAAAAGCTTGCCCACAGAGCTGCCGATGCCGCCTGTCTGGTCAGTCGAGATCGGATCATGTTGGTGGTTAGCTGAAATCTGGACATACCTATGCCGCCGGCAATGATGACCAATCGGTTAGAGAAAGCCATGGTTAAGACTTAATTATAGATGCTGAGCTAGATGAAAAGATCAACAAGAGGGATTTTCGTCTGGTCTGGTCTCGGTCTTCAAAGATGCGTCCCTCAGTTAAGATGGGGGCGAGCGGGGGCTGCGGGGTGATATTTTCCTTGATGCCTCATCGTGATCTGACAGTTGACGGGATGTCCCAATTTGGAGACCCGAAATAAGAGGCCAAGATGGGGCAGTTCCACATGAGAGAACAAAGTTTCCCCGTTTCCTAGAATTTTGCGAGGCCATCTACCAGCCTGATTTTTGGGGTCAATATGTCCGGGGAATTTCTAGTCTCATGCATTTTGCTCTCAGTCACGTCTCCTAGTAACACCGAATTTGAGATGATTATGAAATTGAGCAATGACACTCTTCTATGGTTATAGACAATCCGACTTATGTATATACAGGAAGGAGAAACTATTCACTTTGAAACCGACTTTCTGCGCTTGGCACTATCTTCACCTCGGTTCGTAACTTAAAGGAAAGAAGGGTTGGCGTTGTTGAGAAGCTGCACAAAGTACGCCTGGAACCAGGTTCCGGCCTCGGGAGCAGGCTTCAACGCGTCCTCGTTGCCGCAGTTGTGATCATAGCGCTCAGCGCTCGTGTCGCTGGTGCCATCGGCCTCGCCACCGGGCTTAATCCACACAAAGGCATCGACGAGAGAGTCCCCAGTGTCGGTGCTAGGTCGGGGTCCAAAGCCTGTGCCGACGGCGTTGCACCAGTGTCCCCATTCGAGCTGACCGGTTGGCTGCTTGCCGGAGCGGCCCTGGTCGACGATGAACTTGACGCCGGACCAGCCAGCTGACTGAAGCTTGGGGCCGATGGCGTTGATGTACTTCTTCTCGTCATAGTTCTCGTTGGGGGTGGTGTATGAAGGGGCGCTGGACAGGCTCCACGCGTTGTAGTTGGAGACGTTGGTGGCGAGTCCACGGAGAGACTTGGGAGATCCGGCATCTTTGTAGACCTTGGCGAACAGGTCGACTGTTCCTTGTTGGTTGGCTGGCCATCCCAACCATCCTGCGTGACCGGCATCGAGGTACATGGCCACATTGTCGAGGTTCAACTGGGTGATTGCGTAGTTGGTGCTCCGGAGATAGACCTCCTGGGCGTTTGCGCATTTAGCGACGTTCAGGTTGGTGACTAGGTTTGCCAAAGAATCAGGCTCTGGAAGATGTGAAAATCAGTATACTGTCATCTCATTCTGTAGAATGTTAGAGCTTACCGATGACGAGGATGGTGCGGATATCCGAGTATTCGACAAACAGCTCCCGGATCTTGTCAATGTACCCCTTGTACTTCTCCTCGCCGCCATCGTCGATTGCATACTCGCCGTTGGACGCAGCAGCAGCGCAATCACGGTCAGGGAGGTCGTAGACGACAAACTGCCCCGCGTAGTTGCCTCCAGCCGCATTGGCTGCTCTGATGTCTGCCAGAGTGTCCGCGATAGAATCAATCTTGGCGAAGGTGTCACTAGAGGATATCGTGTCAATAAGCATCCACGACAAGAAAGCAATGCAGCTTGACTTACATCCACTGGAACGTTGGCACCTCCGCGACCTTGGCCGCAGCCGTAGCCAAGGCCCCGGAAAGCTGAGGCACGGCCAGGCTGTGGATTTCTGAAGCATAGTACTCGTTGGCCCACAGATCGACACCTTCGAATGGGTTGCCCTCGAACGTGGCTGTCACATCAGGGGCAGCTGTTGGTTCCGGGGCAGGGGCGCAGAGGCCAGCTGCGAAAAGGGCAGAAGCCGAGAAGATGACGCGGAGAGACATGGTGTGCTTTGATTCTGTGTGCGGATTTCTTGATGCTGTTGTTCGAAATCTATCTTCTGGCCTGGTGATGACAGTTCATATATACTTTTCATGCTGCACGAGAATGAGGCCAGAAGGCTCGAAAGGAGCGAGTCTTCGGAGAGGCCTCAGACAGTCCCGGGTCCTTTGGCAATTGATCGACACGGTGACAGTGTATTCATGCAAACTGCGGTCGCCAAGGTCTCACTTGAACAGTTGATGTGGGCTTGTGTTTCGAATTTATGGAGATTGGCAGGCCTACATTTCGGAGGCTACGTTCCATGACAGCCCTGTAGGGAAACAACTTGGCTGATCAGCACCAAGAGTTCATTGCCGTCCAGGTCGGCAGGAAGGGCCATGCGTCCGGCAAAAATCATGCTCAATTGTTCGTTATGGCGTCATGTTCAAGCCTTCAGTGGCGCGACCACTGACGATGTTGAAGGGAGGAGGTTGCCCGCGGCTGAATGCATCGCTTCCGCATCTGCCACACCAGTGGATGGATAAGCTTATACTGATTGTTACGGTGGCATTACATTCCGTACGGATAAGCTTATACTGATTGCTACGGTGCCATCAAATTCCGTACGTGAGCCCCTGAGACTATTGACCGGATACATGTTAGTTGCCGCGAACAAGACAAGGGCGGTCATTATAGGTTTGTTAATTATTTAGGAAGTCAGAGGAAGAAATTCGTTCAATTACTTCGAGTAGACAGGAGTTTGGCAATCTCCTCAAGCTCCCCGGCCAATGAGCAAAGAACTGCGCGAATGGGAGCAACTCTACTTTGGTAGACGACTCTATGCTTAGACTTCACGCTCACACATGCAAAGGAGCTCATTTGCTTCCAAGACCAGCCATGCTACACTCTCAAGACCATTCATCTTACCCTGGTCCTAGAATTTCAGGGATTTAGTACTCCACATGTGGGGGATTCGCAACCATCGTCCGAAATATCCATCGGAACGATCGGGCCGCTATATCTGCCTTTCCGAATTCCCCGTTTGGTATCAAGTCTGGTGAGGCCCGTTGCCGTCTTTATACCATTGTGTACATCAATGACGCTATTACTGTAATTCTTTCAGCCATGCTGCCAAAATGGTCTATGATTTCCTCATCTTGGACGAAGAAGGCTTAAGCGTGCTCAATCACACACAAGATGCGATATTCTCCACCTTGTGAATCCGTGTCAGAAAACGCTCCAGCTGTTGTCCCAGACTCCCACGGGTACGACTTTACCAAACTTGAACAAATGGTTAAAAAGTGATATATACAGTTACATCCAAGAAATAACTTGTTTTGGTACTTGGAATAATGAGATTTGGTGTTGCTGTGGAGGGTAGCCGTGTAGCAACAGAGTGTGGTAAGAATCGACTGTTTGGACACTTTTGGGGCGGTATGTTTACAAAGTCGTAAATGAGCAGCTCATTGATTAATATTCTCCAAACTCCTGACACTAGACTTCTACTTTGCTGTTGCTGATCGAACTCGACGGGAACCCATCGCCTGTCTTCCTGTCTTACTAGCCCGCCGTGTTAAGTGATTGGGCGGCTACAGCAAAGACGCTTTTCATGAACTCACGGTATCCCAACTACTAATTACTCCTTCTTGCTAAGAAAAGGAAACTTGTCGTCATCCAAGGTCCCAACAGTCAGCTCTCTCCCTTCCGGCCCCTTCCCCACGAACCACCCGAAGCGGAACCGGGCGGATCTGAAATGGTCGTCCAGCTCTTCAAATGATCTATTATACGGTTCCTGAGGCACTGAGGATAGGGCATTAGAACCATGGAGCAATGATTCCATCATCGCGATACTGTTCACACCGCATGGGGCCAGACCCTTGAATTCCATGTCCAGTAAAAGTCGCTTTCCAAAGAATTTCCGGAGTGCGCTTGAGATTAAAACCCAGAGATTTACAATGAATGCCAGTCCTATTATAATCAGTAGCGCAATGGTGACAGCACGATTTTGAAATAGTCGATAGAGCTGATTGTCTCGTACTTTGGCGTTGACAACGGCTTGAGCTGCAGGGTCAATCTCATCGGAGCGAACCAGCTGACTTGCCAGCTGGCCCCATGCTATACGATGAAGTGAATGCAAATTGTCAAGAATTTCATCTTCTTGGTTCGGGTCGCTTGCACCTCCAGTAGGAGTGATGTTCAAGTCGGCGATTCGCAACAGACACATTTGCCCAGAAATAATCTCTCAGCTTCCAAGGCAGAAGCGGGCGCTTCGTGTATTCGCTTTTATGATCGCAGGGCATGAGGCCGTAATGGTCATCGTCGGATGGGAAGCTTGTCGCAACGTATGCAAAGCCATTTTCGCTGCTGTTCCAGGTCAAACTTCTAGAGAGAGGAAACTTAGTCCCATTGCCGCAAGTGACGTCTCGAGTAACTGAAATTTGTATTGGGCAGATGCCCTGACTTGGCTCTGAAATTCACATTCGCCTTGAACTCCTCGTCGGGGACTCGATGGCATTCGGGGAAAGTTTTCACCGCTGCCATTTCGACACTGACTGACATGTCGTTGTTCCAATTCTGGTCTTGGAGGTTACTCAACTCGAGACGAGGAAATATTAAATCCTTGTATGTGTTCTCGGGCCAGATGAGGTTGGATTTTTCTTTCGACACAATCAAAGCACCGATACTATCCAGGATAGCTGTATAGTTGTCCATGGCAGAAAGTCCCTGCTGCGTGTGGGTTGTGAATCTATCTCCCACCGGAATTGCTATTTCTGTCGTGGTGTTTCGAGCCAGCTCCGAGGTGAATAGGATCGTTGACAAGGTTGTCAAGAACGCACAAGAAATAGCGAGGAGCTGGGGCAGAATGATTGACATATTCCACAGTCTAAAGGAGTGATATAGCGCTTGGGGGCCAAACATATCCAAGAAGGACATGTCGATGTCCCGAATACTGCATGACTTTATCGAGAGTTGGAACAGAACACCAAGATCCCGCACCGCCATTGCAGCCGAAGCAGTATACAATGCAACCAGGAACATCGCCAATGCAGTAATTGACTTCCACCAAATAGCTAAGGTGCCATTAGGGACAGTAGCGATTCCATCGGAAGTTTCTGAAATTCGTAGGGTGACTGCAAGGGCGATGATGAGTGCTAGGGCGTAGGCAGAAAACAAAGCACGAAGCCAAGTCTCGAGAGCAAAGGGGCTATCTTGAGTACGGGCCCATTCGTCTTTGGCGCTCTGCGCGTCGTCCGGCATAAGTGCCGCATTCAATTCCTTGTCTGAAAAGAAGGTCGTCGATCCTAGTATTGTGGTGGGATTCCTGGGCCAAGCTCCAAACGTGCCTCGAGATGTGAGTATCATCCAGGCCGCGATAAGAGCTAAGGTGCCGAAAAGGACTGCCATCGCGATACAGATGCTGCGTGTCACTTTGAGCCGCGGCGCTTGTCTGACAATTGAACCGGTAATAGTTTGGTTCTGGTTTTGCTTGAAGTGATAGTGCGCAACAAAAGGGCCAATATTTTCTGTGAGATTCGAAACGACTTCCTGTAGAATTTTGCTCTCATAGAGGGATGATCCTAGTTGCTGTGGCGTCGTCTTCTTGAAATTGGCTAATGCAACGATAGGTCCATATGGCGCGGTTCGTGTTATGTTGTCCCAAAGTCCCTTTGATACTGGTATAGACTCGGTCAAAAGGGACCAGAAGTGGCTATTAACGGGCGTGCCATGCTGATTTGGTGACATCTTTAAGACTGGATCGATACCGTCATCTGTTATGTCTACTCTTGATGACCGAAGGCCTACCGAGCAGAGCACAGCGGCCACCTTGTCCAAGCTCTGTATGGGCATGAAGTTGGAATTTCGGGCTGTATTCCAAGACTCTGCAACGTAATAGAACTGTTCATACTCAGGATTTAACGAAGAGCATCTTTTGCCACTTGTAAAAGATTTTGCGATTGTCCAGCGGGTTATTTGATAATCCAAGCGCACGATCGAGACGTTGACGCGTATGTCTGTTTCGGGGCAGCCTTCGAATTGCAAGCTGACAGTAGGTATAGATCCATTCTCGGATTTTCGCTCTTCTTCCGTGATGTTGTTAAATTTATAGCTTTGGAGGAGGCGGCATTCCGTCTCAGGAAATAGGCCGTCTACTGTGGCCGTCACTGGTGAATTGATACTTCCACGTGCTTCATCATTCGCTGCCTGCATGAAAGCCTGATATGCACCTAGCTCGGAAACTCCAAACGGGAAACTCATATTGAAGTCTTGAAGTGCTCGTGCGTGAAAGAATGGAGTTGTTACAGAGATGTTGGCTTGTGAAGATGACACATCTGAGTAAAGTCCTCGGGTGGAGAGAGAAATAGATCGTGACTCGGGGGTTGTTGTAAGGACATTGAACGCATCGAGCGTTCTCAAATCAACAGGATGTGCGCCTTGAATGTATGAAAGCTCGAAAACACTGGCTGATAGAATCACTAGAACCTTTATAAAAATCGAGCAAACGACAGCGAAGAAGACGAAGAAGTGCCTGTTGCCCAATGATTTGATAAGTACCTCGTGAGGCAGCATAGAGGTATAGTCGAGTGTGTATTCCTCGTGAGATAATCTTCGCTTGCGTTGGGGTTGTATAGCGACCCAAGGCATAAATCGCATTGCTTGTAGTTCGACGCGCGCCCAAAGAGCCGCGACAACGGTGAGTACTAAAAGTAGAAGGCAATAGATCAGAAACAAAAAGGCATTGAATGATATGCCATGGCACAAACATACTCGCAGTCTGTCCAAACCTCCATAGCTGACCTAGATCCTGACGAACGATGCCAAGTCCCTGGTTCTTTTGTGAAAAGTGTAGCATCACAGGAAGGGTGATGGCACAGGCGAGAAAGAAAATGCAAAAGGGGCCAAGAAGAGCGCACCGCAGCCAGAAAGGACGCCATTCGGCGGCTGTACGCGTATCTTGTCCTGGATCTCTCCTCTGAATCACAGATCTTGAAAGCTTTGGTAGTGTTTTCGCTTCCAGGGTTTGCACGCCGGGACCAGTCTCAAATTGTTTCGTATGAAGCTGGAGGCACTCATCAGAAGCCTGCTTCTGGGGTTCAGAGGTTATATCGGCGGAGATGGATTGGATTGGTGCCAGCTCAACAGTCGAATCTGACTGACCTGAGAATCCGGGTGATTCGTTCTGGCTTAGAAACTTCTCCCCATCTTTCACGGTTCTCCGCGACACCATAACAGCGGTGATGATGGCCTTTAGTGCTTAGATACAAGGAGAAAAGATTGAGCAAAGATCCGAGCAACGAATCGATGTTACTCAAGCGTCTCTAATCAAAAACCTCAACCAAAAAATGAACGTCAAATACATCAAGCGCCAGATAAAGGTGCCAAAATCCAAGCGGCTATCAAATGTTTGGGTGAAGAATGCTTAAAATATGCATCCCTCTCTGCTGGAAACGGATGTATCTTGCAGACATGGATATATAACCCGACCCCCCGGGTTTCAGTCGCGGTCAGTGATCCTTCGCTATCTTGGCATTCAACGAGATGGGCTGATTCCAACCCTTTTACGCCCAGTAAGGCTGTATACAGCAGGGTTATCCACTTCCAGACACGATAATGGGCAAAGTAGCGTAATGATGTGGCAAGGGCTGGTTTGCTCACTGCGTTGTACTCGTTATTCTATTTTGGGTATGAGTTTTGTTTATGTTATATGGTCTGATTCAATAGGTACGTGAGGGTGGCCATGCTTATAATAATCTCGTAAAGGAAAGTCTTATTTTGAGTCTACCTAGCCTAAAATGGATATTTGGCTACAGTTTCACGCACGAAATAAAAAAACAAATGCCGAATCGTATATCTTGAACGTCCTAACCAGCTCAGAGGACAAAAATTGCTAAACTTTGCGACCTCCTGCGTAAATTGTAGCCGGTTATGATATAAACCTGACAATTAGAGGGTACTTCTCTAAGTTGACTCACTTAGGCTTCGTTGGATGAGTTGAGACTAGAAGCGTCGTGTATTCCTAAAGCTCAATGGAGAAAAGCACTATCATATAGTCTCGGATAGCAGCACTTGGAAGAAAGAGTACTGTGGGACATAAAGACGGATTCTTTGACTACGTGTGTCTTTTGGGTTCGGATTCTGATTGATAACGAACCAGCCAACTTGAACTTCCGCAAACTTCCGCACGACGACCCGCCCAGCACAGCTTACTAGGTATTTATAGACCTGCAGGATATGCCCATTAGTAGCAATTACTAAAGTCCCAGTTTTAACGAGTGTAGTCTTAAGAAATTGGTTGTTAAACGATTTGCAAATATTGAGAAAACCCTCCACTGTCACCACAGACTTTCACGGTGGAGAATGAGCTCACATAGACCTGATAGCCTGCCAACTCCGCGACGAACTGATAGCGGCTCTCAAGCACCAAACCACGTCTGCTCTGACTTAGAAGGCTGAGCTGAGCAAGTAGGGGAGCTCAGTTGTTTGAACCCTCCCATAAGTATCATTTGCAATAAATGAATGTGTATGATCTTGTGTTACGTCCTAGGTAGTAGAGCAGACCCCTCCACCATTCTAGGGGGTGTTAGTACCGATACGTCAAAGGTGATAGAGACCGAAAGTAACCGCGCGATTCAAGGGGAGATCATGAATCCCGTGCCCGGTGGATCGTATGCCACGTGGAGAGTTCTAGACGCGGACTAACGATGATCAACATTTGATCGAACGATTCAGAGCCAGAAAGCGTCAAAGGGGGGAAGATGGTGCAAAGCAAATTGATGCTGCGAAAGTCGAAGGAGACAAACAGTCAAAGGAGAGACTGACAACTGGAAACATTTTTGGGATAAGGAGGCCGATTGAATGGCGGCAAGAGGGAGGCTGTAAAGCCAACCCATGACTGATACCAAGCCTCGACAGTGCTATATGTAGGTGTAATTCTTCACATCAAAAGGCAGAGCGACTATAAATAGTATGAACCAATTCATATCAATCGGCTGAAGATTCCGGGACGCAAGCATTGCTCTCCATCACACGACTCGCCTTCACCCCCAAATAGGACAACAGTTTGGACTAGCCATTACCAACAACCAACGACGGTTCACACCAAGAGGGCCCTAGACCTTCACAGTTCATCATACCAACTTTTCAATCTTCTCTTTCCTCTGCCCCTCCCGCACACGTCCTGAATGCGAATAGCACATATGGTGAATATCAGTAAACCTCAAACATCAGGAAAAGTGCGAGTATCAATTCTCCACTCTAGATCTCGTTTTATTATTATTGGAGTATCAGTATTCCGACAATCCTACAAGATTTAACCCACTATTGACGTCTCAATGAGGTATCTGAAGAGGTTGGTGCGTACAGAGTCCTCAGACAGGTAATTCAGTCGAGAAGGCCACCCTAGACTGGCTAGTTAATCAATGTTAACCCGAAAGGCTGTAGCTAATGTTTTACTACGCTCTAGCTACCGGTATGAGTAATTTGACTGGGACTGGCGATTAGATGAGAACATTTTTTGCAAGACCGCTAACCTGCGCTAACGTAAGAGCTGAATGATGGTAATAGAAAGTCGTTAAGGAAAGGTCGAACATCGTTATACGTCGATGTACAGAGATCAAACCATATCATCTCCTCGTCGTAGTTTCTGAATTTGTGTTGCTGCTCTATGATAGCGATATAACTAGTTTCCGAGTTTACATCCCCCAATTGATAATCTTTTCCTCTCGTTTTCATTTATATTATAGGAAAAGGACCAGCTTAAAACACCTGGTGAGGGGTTGACATACTCTCGAATTCTCCGATTGGATAAACCACACGCCATACTTAGAAGACCAAGAAGAGGATTTCCTCCTCGACTTTGTTGGTGGCAGTATAGTAAACTTGCCCTCTTCTTGTTTTCCTGGGGGGCACTGGTGGTTTCTTTGAACTGGGTGGCCTAGTCATGCTAGGCAGCCGAAAGGGGTAACTTGCACGAGATGATCCTATTAAGGACTGAGAAACCAAAGCTCTAGCTTGTCCTGGTTAGCAAACACCAATCTCTAAATAAGCAAGCTGGGTATTTGGCAGCAGACAGAGAATCTGATTGGAGTCGAGCCCTGCTAGAATGGGGCCAAACTTTCCCAAAATTTGTTCCCTGCGTCATAACACATTACCCTTGTATTTTAGTTCTGCGACATTTATTATTGTCAGTTTATAATTCAGCCAAGCTTCTCTCTTGTTCTAGCCATATGGTTGGGCTGATCTCATCGAATCTCAAGCTAATTGGCGCCTGAGTCAAGCCGCAATCTCAACAATGCCAGGCGTGCCAAAATCCCGGGGTTGCCAGACCTGTAAGCAGAGGAGGATCAAGGTACGCTGTGTGCCTCGACCCTCCGCCTCCTGAACCATACTCAGAAATTGACCTATTGCTCGTCTAGTGCGACGAAACATGGCCAACTTGCGCTCAGTGCAAACACATGAACGTTAAATGCCCTGGGCTAACATCTCTCATCAAGTTCATCGTCCACAAAACCTCGGATGTGAGCTCGGGCAAAAAGGGGTCGGCACAAACTAGCCACTCAGGGTCTGCTCTACACCTGCGGAAAATTCAGTATGCCAAGGTTGACGATGAAAGTGCCGGGTACGGTCTTTTACAAGCAACTCCCAGAAGTAATCCTACTACCATCGCTGATCGAGTTGGGTCACGTCTCGTCGGCAACATGGAGCGCGGCCGGATAGGGGTTGCTGGCATTTACATGACCTACCTACCGGAGCTGCCGAAACGGCTAGCCAGAAGTCCTTGTCTCCGCGATTCAACAGATTTGTTTTGCTCAGCATGGTCTAGTTTTCGGCGTCACGATCCCCAGCAGGGTGGGCTCATGGGCATGCCTCAGTATGGGAAGGCTTTGAGAAGCCTTGGGCGCGCTTTACTCAACGATCAACATCGTGATGTAGAGACTCTGGCTGCTATGGTACTTCTTGAAAGAACAAGTAGGCTATTCAATCGCGATCCCCATCAGACGGGGATTCACCTCAAGGCGATAAGAGAAGTGTTTCGTCAGAGAGGGCCTCCTAATATCAAGGATGAGCTTGATGTTGCTGCGACAAACGAAGTACACGGGCTTCTGGTAGATACCCCTTATTTTCTGAGTATTCGAGGAAGTTTGCATCTAACACGCAAGCCTCATGCTAGTTACGTGACGACTCTGGAAACGAAGAAAATGCTTTTCTTTATCAATCACCATGGAAAGAGGCCTTATCCTACTGCGCAGATAATATGGCGCCCCTCAATGATGTCCGCCCATATTTAATAGATGACGTTTGGGTTCTCTATGGGTGTTCGAAACAGCTATATGCATTACTCCCCGAGTTTCAACACGCATGTCGTTACTCCTCAGCAACTGAATCAGCCGCTCAAGCGCTTCATATCCGCAACCAACTACAGGGTCTCAGAGAAGCGCTCAAAGATAAGCCCCTCAAGCTATGGGAAAAGGCGCTTGAAGCAGGCGTCATTACCAAAACTATCGATGATGAGTCCATCACAGGACACAAATATTCCTTCGGCTCAGTCTTTCTTGCAACTATGTATCAGAAAATCCTTCTTGTTCGTCTAGCCATCATGCGAATGATAGGTAGTTTGGTCGACAGATGGGGCGCTCCGGATATCACCCTTTTAGCCGAGTTTAAGGACGTCAGCGTCTATGTTTGGAAGATGATACCATACGTGCGATCTTTGGAATCGGTCATTGCTATTGACATGGTAAGACCAATGCTTTTTAGCTATGAGGCTGCCAACAGCGAAGAGAAAGAATACCTCCTAAATTCTATTCTCGAAATAGACGAAAATATAGGGCGCTACCCCAGGGACAAAACGGCGTTGGAAGCCACGCTGAAGAACGCAGATCAGATATTGAGCTACTTTGTAGACGAAAGCATCTGATCAGTTTTCTATCTACCATCATTGCTACATCTAGGCGTGTTGTTATAGATGAAAATGACCGAAATAATCTCCTTGACGTTGAGCTACCAATTTTCTGTATATCAAGATGTATTCTCTTCAGCGACTCCTGTTCGAAATGTCGCTTGACCCGAGGACTTGAAACTGTTGAAGTACTGGTACTGCATTTGACTGAGTGATGCTGAGGCGAATCCGGCTCGTGCTTACTGTGTTTGGGAGGACATCAATGCGCTTGTAACCGATCGAGGTCCCATTGACAACTCTCGTGTACTCGTCGCCTACAAGAGCCTCGATTGTGTAGCTCCCAACGCGCTGGCCGAGTGCGATATGCTCTTGCACGATGAAACCACTTACAGGTCGCTCATACCCAAAGTCAATCTCAACCCATCCGGTTGTTTCATCATCGTCCAAAGCCCAGTAACTATCGTCTCGTCCATCCAGCAGGTTTTGAGGGCCATACGCGTTGTTGTCATCTTCGCGGACGCTACTCGCTGTTACGTTCGCCCCTGGTTGAAGGATCCCCTGGCCCAACAATGATTCGCGCAAGTTCTTGAATTCTATCAATGAAGCAATATCTTCATCTTGAATCAACCCTCTCGTATCAGGTGGCACATCCAAGTTCAATGTGACACTGCGGCCGACTGTCTTCAAGTACATGTCCATCAGCCCGTCACCTGTCTTGGGCTTCTCTTCCGCATGCCAAAACCACCCATCGCGAATCCGTGCGTCTGATTCCGCTGGTGTCCAGTATGTGCCATCGCGTGCACCAACCATTAAGTCCTGTTCACTTAGGCGAGCATCATCCTGGGTTACATTGATCGTATGCCAGTTAGTCTCGAGTGTGTACCCATCCTCATTCCCAACCCAGCGAGCGTCAACTCCTTGGTGACCCCACATGACAGCTTCAGGCTGATGTTCCCGGATGATATCTCGGTATCGGGCCCAGTCGAATGTCTGCACTGTGTCTGAGCCGCTGGCGCCATCCAGCCAGAGTTCAAACACATCTATCTGGGATCCATCGCTGAGCTCCATGGTGAGAAGTTCTGTCAACTGCTGGGAATAAAGCTCGTTGTAGTCTCCTGGGGAGGCATCGCCGAAGATTTGCGGTTCGTCAAAGATGGTCCCAGCGAGGCCTGGCTTGGGCATTGCCGGGTCACGATGGATGTCCCACGGCGAAAGATAAATGCCGAACCGGATGCCGTACTTCTTGGCCGACTCGGCTGCCATCCGCACAACGTCGGAATCCAGACCATGCTCTGTTCTATTCTCTGCCCACGCCGAGTTGGCAATTTTGTATGTGGTTGTGCTGCTGTTCCACAAAGCCATCCCGTCGTGGTGCTTGGCTGTCAGGATCATCCCTCCCATGCCTGCGTTGGCAAACGATTGAGCCCATTGGTCTGTATCGAGGCTGGTTGGATTGAAAACATCCGGCGGGCTCTGGCTACGGCCCCATTCTTCTCCAGTGAAGGTGTTGTGTCCAAAGTGAACAAACGCATAATATTCGAGGCTATGCCATTGAAGCTGACGAGCTGCTGGAACATGAAGATGCGGCTCGGGGAGAGTTTGAGCATTCGATACATACCCCGAGACACCGAGAAGCGTTATCGCACAATAGAGTCCCGGTCGAACCATCATGTCATTGAGACGCACGTATTTGTATGATTGTTATTATCGCGATCACAACCATGTTAGCTTGGTCCTTTTCTAATGTATTCGGCAATGCGAGCCTCTTCGGCTATCATATTCACATGCTCTTGCAAAAACCCCGCGATAGATAGAGAAGATGTTCCATCTGCACACAGGCCCCCGATTTATCCATGTTCGGCTAATTGAGCCATTTCCACAAATCATGTTTCCCTTCTATCCCCCTTTCTATTCAAGATCGGCTAGTCTGTTTGATTTAGATCTGCAACGTGGTTCGCCTTTGAGTGACTATCTCCTCACCCGTAATCTGCACCACTAGGCCTGTTTATTTCCTGGATATTTCATAGGCGGCTCCCTGTTTGCAATATCCCCCAGACTACATTACCACGAGACAAGGGCATATTTATTTATTAATAAGATAAGTTTTATTGAATTATATATAAAAGGCATGCCTATATAAGGAAATCACACCCCTCGCCCCCCTACATGACGGTACACATCATAGGTAAGGTTATAGCAAGCCAGAGACCCCAGTTAGCCGTTTCTTCCTCGTTTTTCCTGATCCTCTCTCTCTCCTTCGCCTCAAGGGGGCAGATGACCATGTCGTCGAGATAGGCTTCGAGTTCCTCCTCCTTCTTTGCAGCCGCTTTCTTCTTCTCGTTCTTCTCGTCCAGGTCATTCTGATCTACTTCCTTTTTTCTCCGTTTTCCTCCCTGCCCTTCTTCCTCTTCCTCTTCTTCCTCTTCCTCTTCCTCTTCTTCTTCTGCCTCTTCCTCTTCTTCTTCCTCTTTATCCTGTTCTTCATCCTGTTCTTCTCTATCTTCTTCTTTCTTATCTCCTTTCTGATATCCTCCATCTTCTTTCTGTAGATGTTTATACCGATAGTCATGCTTTGTTACATGCTTCTTACGCCTCGTTTGCCAGGGTCGCGGTTCTGGGGAGATTTTCTTCGGGTTTCCGAACAACGGTACATCCTTGGCGTCGATGGTCTCGCCATACTCATTCTCCTCGTGCTCGGTTAGCTTCCACGTGTCCGGCCACCGACCATCGGACTTGGCCTGCAGGAGAGTTAGCATGCGAACAAGACCAGGTTTCGAAGGGTCGTCTCCTACATCTGCCTGCTGCGTTCTCTGGTCCACAGCATCATCTTCATGCAAATCAATGTAACCCTCTTGCTCCAAGTATTTCAGAGCTTCTTCACGACCCGTGTAGATTCCTTTCTGCTCAGGGACCTTCCCGCGGCCGTCCTTGTCCCACTTGATGTGCCTCCAGACGTCGGGGTCCGAATCCTTCTTGAGTTTAATGAAAAATTCTCCAGGCTGGAGAATAATCACTTTCTCGACCGTAGGCCAAGTACACGGCGCTGGGAGTCCTCGAATTGTAGCCGTGGTGGAAGGTAGGTCGGTAAGGTTTTTCAAATACATATTGGATTCAATATGACAATGTCGTTATTACAATATTGTAATGTTTTGACGGGGACTCGGCGCTTGCTGGAGTGTGCGCGTGGTATTGTGCTTGAAAACTTCGGTGTGTTGTTGTATGCGATACGTGTTCAAACTTTGGTTGTGTAGCAAGTTAAGTTTACTTCCTCAAATACGAGGGATAGCAACTCTTAAGTAGTGAGGATTAGAGGGATTAGAGTTCGTGAAGAAATCATACGGACGACAGGGCCGTGATACGAATATCAAGCTTTTTTCGCTCTGAGCCTTAATCGCAGTAAACCCCGTGGTGACTCTGTCGCCGGGTGACATTGACTGAACCCTAACATCATCAAGGTTTCTATCAAATGGTTGTGTCCTGCTACTCGTCCTTCATTGGCCCATCCTTCTGAAGGACTTCGCCAGTCGCAAGAATATCGCGGTTGGACTTTGATGTAGAGGTATCGCTCACACAACTACGAGACTTCTCGCAGAATTTCCAGGTGGTAGCAATGAGAGGGATCAGATTGTTTACTATGATATTATTTACTCGCACAAGATTTCTAACATAAAGAAACGATATCTGCCGAATCTAATCATCGGAATCTATCATATTAATTAGACCTCCAAAGCCTTTTACTCCATTGAAAGATTAATACACACTTCCCCAAAAAGCGCCCAAAGAGAAACGGTAGCCCAAACTTATACCACGTAGCAGGCTTCCAAAGCCTCACTTCGGGCACGACCACATCTGTGCCACGTGCTCGCGCCTTCGATCCATTTTCCGCCACCGGCTTCCCCGTAAAGGCCTCGACAGCCTCCACCATGATTTCGACAGTCTCCTCGGGCTGACTCAGGAACGGGGAGTGGCTAGTCGGTAGCTCCCTGTGCTCAACACTGGCTCCCATCCCTCTGGCCATGGCCACTGTCATTCGCTGTGCCGCCACTGGCAACCCTTGATCCTCGATGGTACCAATATACCATGACGGCACATCCCTAAATCCAGAATACACAAACTCGCCTCCCTCGAACAATGATTTGAGGCTGTGGGGCGTCAGCTGCGACGCCCAGTACTCTGCCTCGTCTTCCGGTAAGTCATGGTAGAAGAACTGCCGCGGCGGGAGGACAATATCGGCAAATCCAGTCTCTTTATTTACTCGCCAGCTAGGGGGAGGATGACCGAAGAAAGGGTCCATGAAAGCGACACCGGTGAGTGCATAGCCAGAGGCGATAAGAATCAGACCAATAACCTGACCTGTGGTTGGCGTCGATTGGAATATGTTACTAAGGGAAGGATCGTGAGATGGTGCGAACCCCTTGATGGCGCTGTTCCCGACCAAGCCTCCATATGAGTGCGCAACAACCACGACGTTGCGGCCGGCGCGAGTTTCGCTAGATATCGCGTCACGGGCGGCGTCAACATCGTTTTTGAACGTGGCATCGGGATCACCAGTTGTAGAGGGAAGGGTGACTTGGATGCATTTCAGTTCGTACCTCCCTTGGAGGATTTCGGTAATCTTGTTGTAGCAGGTAGCCCTGTGCCATGAGCCCGGAACCAATACCAAGGTCGGTTGGCTGGGATTAGCCATGGTTATATCATTGGCCTTTGTCGCCTTAATCACTCTTTCTCGTGTCACCATTATCGGTCAAAGAAGCAATCAAGGGAATTTTGAAGAATAATGAGATCAGAGGGCAGAGATACGACGGGTAACGAGCTATTTAGGACTGTTATAAAGCTCACCGAGTGTCTAACAATATCACAAAATGTGTATCCCATGATGCATCGAGGAACTATCTTCTCAAACACCAATAGGATGTCTTCCAGTTAGACAAATACGGGGCATTTCTGGACGTGCTATCCCATTCCTGGACAAATAGACGAAATCTCCATCCATTTTGTCCATTTTGTGGACATGAGTCAGATTCTGGGCATCAAAGATATTCCGAATTCCAGAACGCCCCAGAATCCCGAGCTTCGGGTGATTTAGGCGGGTAGCACCGGGTCATTCTTTCACTGGGGTCGCTGCAGTGATTCGGTGAGGATGGTGAGGCCAGGCCGCAATCACTCTCGACACGTCTGCAGGCAAACATGGACGGGCTTCTACCAGATGCGACTATCCTCGACTAGCATTCCATAGTGGAAACACACGCAGCATGATATTGCCCATAAAAAGGAGAGGATGAGCTTATTCGCACATACATTCTTTGTGCAGTGCAAGATGCATGGGCGCATGCAATATCCATGCGCGTATCAGCCGCCGGGTTTCTGCGTACAAAGCTTATTCTAGTGTGAGCACTGCCTCAAAACAAAGTCCCTGCGGGCGAGAACAGTGAGACTTTTATTCACTAATTATTCCATGTATGGAGGCAGTGCTCAACTTCGAGTTACACTGTTGAGGTAGAACCCACGCCGAAAATGGCACAACATGATGATGGTAAGTTTGCTGCGCTTGAAGGTAGATTGGCGAAATTCACGTAGATAATTATTAATGAATCCTACAGCCAGCCTCTGTCCAACAGGCCAATAACCACGGTGTTATGATCCGCAGTGGCGCAGACGAATGATCAGCCCTCCCCCTGTCGTACGGCCCAGGCCTCACAGGCAGACACGATTCACGGGCTACAGCACACACAATACGAGCTTCTGTCATGCCACTGAATCAAAGAGGAAAGCCGTCGTGACCTTTTGCATGACCTTCCTGTTGCCCTTTCAGCTCCAGTCCAACAAAGCCAATGAGCACACATGCGGGGGACCTTTTGGTGGGATTTAAGCATAAGATTTACGTCATGCTTAGGAGCTGCCTTCTTTGTCCATCATGGGGTGTTTCAGAGTGCCGGCGGCTGCCCAATAAGTAGCCGTTGTGAAGGCGATCACAGCCCGTGAGGTTGGCGATGACGCCTCCAGCACCACCAGCCCCCGCGTCTTGGCTTTCTCTTCCCGCCATGCTGATTGTTCTTTGTCTCTGTACCTATTCCCTTGTGCCACTGCAGCGTGTACATCTGTAGGTGGCCACGTAAGATGGTCTATATAATTCGTAGCCTACATCTGCTCCAATCCAGCTCTCTTTCTCCCCCCCTTCATCTATCTTATCACCATCCCCTGTCTATTCACACATCCATCATCAATCTGTTTCATCAACCTCTATTCATTTAATCTAATACGACACCCAGTAAGACGCCAGTCAAAATGAAGTCCGCGCCCATCATCCTTGCCACTGCCGCCGCCCTGGCTTCAGCACAAGACACCACCGGCTTCTACTCCATTCTGCCTATTTCCGTCACCGACATTCCATCCAGCGCCCTCAGCAGAATCTCTGACATTCTGAGCTCGGCCACCGCGTCGGCCACAGTGACATCAGGCTCAGCGTCCGGTTCCACCACGGACCTGGTCAGCTCCATCACCGTCCCGACCACTCTCTCCTCCGTCACCTCCTCTGGCCTCCTTGGAAGCACCACTTCCGCCGAGTCATCGTCTTCGGACTCGTCTGCTAGCGGGACATCCGCGTCGCAAACCTCCGGCAGCACTCAGAGTAGCACAGAGAGCTCACAGCCCTCGACTACGAGCGGCGATGGGGGCAGCGGTGCCACCAAGCCGCTCATTGGCGCTGGTTTGGCTGTCGCCGCCGCCATGCTTGCCTTGTAAAGCGGTCAAGACTGAAGAAAGTTGATACCATTTGAGATTGTCTGCTCTGTTAAGCAACAAAAAACATTGAAGAAAATGACCAAAAAAAACTGACCAACAAAGACCCCCAAAAACAACCCAACATGCAATCAAGTTCTCCGTCACCAGGGAACTCTTCGGATTATTATGAATGCCAACAAGTGCACTGATCCCTCTAATTGGGAATATTTCGCGATGCAAGATTTTTAGCCTACTTAGTAATGAGAACAATCAGAATTAATTCAAGAACAAAAAACCTGCTCCTTGACTGATATCTTGCAACCCTTAGACTTGAACATGTTGAATGACTATCATTGTAATCATATGTTACCTAAACACAATTATCGCAATAGAATCAATCTTCTACCCCTATCATAAGATGAGGCTATCCCTGGTTACCGGGCACTGTCCACTCTCCATCCCCGATAACCGCCAACGTACATCCTGAAGTGAAACAATCATAGCCATCCAGTGCAGCAAGACTCTCCAAGAAAAGAAAAAAAAAGAAGTATAAGAAGGAAACATGCATCGATCAGTCCATCAATCGACACTTTACCGAGTATTAAGTGGCCGAAATTGCCCAGTTCGATGCATACTATCAAGGTGGTTGATCAACTCAAGTCCTGAAGTCCATTGCGCCGTGCTCGTAAGGCAGAATGGACAAAAGTATATGGATCTACCACCCACAAGCCTGAGGCCCTCGATACCCGGGGCTCGATGATTCATCCGCACATAAGCATCTAGGTAGTCTCTCAGCGGCCCACGCGGGAACATAGGCCAGTTCTTCTGCAGGGCTCGTTCCGCTTCCGACTCCGCGACTGATTGCGCCGTCGAGTTCACCGGTGGGTTCACGTACATGCACGGGAGAGCGGTCTGTTTAGGCGGGCCTAAGAGTTCACGGACGTCCTCGGGGCTTGAGAAGCCACCCATGCCGGGCGTGGTGGGTGAGGTGGAAGTTGCTGAGAATGGAGGGGAGATGTAGGGGCCGGACCCCCGGGGGACCAAGAGTACCTCGGGGCTTGCTTGTCCCCCTTTTGTTGGCGTGGAAGTGGGTGATCCTGCGTTACTCGTTGGTGATGTTCTGGGTTGGCCTTGGGTTTGTCTTGATTGTGGAGGCCGAAGCTGGATGGTGGGAGTCCGACGAGCACGGATCGGCGGTTTCGAATTGGATTTGTGGATAGCGGCTGTCGGAGTTTGCATCCAAGCTTGCGATTGAGGCTGGATCTGCGGCTGAACATGTGTCTGCACATTGGCTTCAGACAAAACATGAAGTCCTTGCAGAGGCCGGGGCAGTCCCTGAAGCTGCGGTAGTCCCTGAGACTGAGGTACCCCCTGAGGCTGAGATTCTGGTGCTCCCTGTAATTGAGGTGGCACACGAGAGAAGGGCTGTGTTGGACTCTGCGTGTGCATTTGGGACTGCGGTCCTGCCAATAACTGAGTTTGGATGGGAGAATGAAGTGGGTTCTCAGGACCAGGACGGGTTTGATTCGGAAACTGGGGTTGTAGATGAGTTTGAGGCTGAGCATGGTATTGGGCTGGCATCCGCCGTGGTTGATTATGAGCCTGGAATTGTATCCTAGGTTGGGATTGGGATTGATCTTGAAATTGAGAATGATAAGGTGGGTGCTGTATCTCCGGCTGGGGCGGTGCATAAGATCCAGTCTGCGTCTGATATTGCATCTGGGCCTGGTGTAAAGCGTGACCAGCTTGCGAAGTACAGCACGTCGGTATCTCAACTCGTGCTTGAGATGGAATCTGACTCTGGGATTGATAGCACTGGCTGTTGCTGAACCCATTGGGGGTATTGTTTGCCACTTCTTGCGGTATGGTTTGATAAACTCGCGGCTCGCCGCCCTGGTGACTTTGCGCATGAGGGGTTTCTTTGCTGGTATCGAGTGTGGAATCTGAGCAATCCTCGATTGCCGAATTTGTTAAGTCTATGAACTGTGTGTGAATGGTTGCCGAGTTATTGCCAGAGGGACTGATCCCCTTCCCAGGGCAAGTAGACGGCCAAGAACCGTTTGAAATTTGCTGAGGCCCTTCTATATTTCCCATTACAGGCCCGTTATACCGGGTTCCAACAGGTGGCGATTCATAAACCGCATTTTCAAGTTTAATTTGTTGCCTTGGGCCAGGTTGATCAGATGCAGCTTGTATTTCCGGCACATTGCCAAAGTCATCACTACCACCTGAGTCGGATGAGATGGTTTGGATCGAGGCTGCTCTCACGATGTTCCGTGGTGGACTCCGGCTCTTTGTCTCCGTCGAGGGCATTACTGTTGGTTCATCCCCAGATACGGCATGCCTCGTGTAAGATTCACGGATTGTAGGTTTGTTTGGGACTGTGGTAGCGCAATTAGTGGACGATTCTTTGATTATCCTATCGTCAGAAACTGCGGCTGTAGGATTTGACGCTGGTTGTTGACTGAGACTGTGCGATTCCTCCGATCCGGGAGAGTGATCGATGCTGGCGTCGATTCCCCGTCGAGGTTCACTCACATAATTCCCGTCTTGCTGGAGGCTAGGCGAACTCATGCCGGTGGATCCCGGAGGGTCATCGTTTTGGACATTTTCGCCATCCGAAATCATGGTATCGTCCTCTCGGTTCTCTTGTCGATCTGTGTGGCTACGGCGACCATCCTCTGGGCCGTCTTTGCCATCATGCCCCTGCTTTGATACGTTATCAGGTTGAATTCTTGCGCCATGATCTCTCGGGTTCGCGCAGCTTTCGCCATCGGCCCCATCTGCAACATGTCCAGAGCTGCTGGGATGATGGTTGCCTGGACCTGTGATAACTCTCGCCTTGTTGGCTGCCCTGTTGGCATCTAACTGCAGTATGAGGCGCAATAGCGGCTGGTAGTACTCCTGATTTACGATGGCGGGGTCTCTCAAATCAAATTCTCCTAAATTTGTGCCTTTTACCCATAATGAATCACACATCTCCAGGGTGTTGTGAGTCAAGCATAGGCCAGGGTGAGCGCGAAACGATTCGAACCGGCCACCATCCTCATATTTATCTTTCCACCCGTATCTGCCTGTGCCTAGCTTGTAGACGCAGCAGTCTGGCATAGACTGGACCAGGTTCAGTGTCTCAAGGTCGCCGTTGATTCCAATTTCAAACATATCCTCTAAAGGAAGGACGAGAACTGGAATATACTCTCCACAATGATAGACGAGGCATATTTCACCAGGTTGACGACGTATGTATGGGTTTTCGTTGCCTTCATTATCATTGTCGCAGTCTGACATTACAGGCTCTATGTCGTCGCAGAGGGTATCTTCGGTATTCTGACTGCTAGCTGTGGTCTGATCCATCGAGGTTGACGAGTTCTTCTGAACTACTTTGTTTGTAATGGCGTTATTGTTCTGCTCTGCACGACTCTTCGTACAGTACTTCACTCGTATACCCATCTTCTCGATAACATCCTTATAGGCCTTTGAGTATTTATCGTGCTTGAGGCTGCCCAAATGAAATGCGGCATCCATGAGCGGGTTGCTACCTCCAAATTCGATTCCGTGTTCCTCACATCGGATTATGTACCAACGACCGTCATTTGCAGGAAACTGTACAATTATCTCTTTGCGGCCAGCTCGAGTATTTTCATACACCTCTTTGAAGCGGATAGTTCTCTCCTTGCTTCGGCACTTGGTAGGGGACCTTTCCCGCTGGCAAGGCTTCTTCTGCGGCTGAGAACGGCTCGCATAGGGGAGCTTTCGTTTGCTCTATTGACGAGTCAGCATTTGAAGGATCTCTTATACAGGTGACACATCTCTTACCCCTGAGACAGCAACGTCTTCGTCTATCCTTACACCCAATGCGGATCCATCGTCGCCCTCTTCTGAATCTTCTTCGATATCAGGTTCAAACTCAGAGTCTAAGTCATGAGAGCCCCTTCCGCTGTCCTCGGGCTGCCTTGAATATTGATGACTAGGGTCTGCATCAGATTCATTGCTGGAGATAACATCAGGTCGGACCTCATTCGGCTGTGCCACTTCGTTGTTGGCAGGTTGATCCAGCACCTCATCACAAGGTTCTCCATTGTGACTCCCTCCATTAACGCCCTCAGGGGATGCACTTCCATCCATGGCAGCACCATCAACTGTTCCAAACTCGCCTTCTGTCTCTTCAACGGTGTGTTGAATCACTTCATCGGGGTGCTGCTCCTTACGGTCCGTGTCTTTCAAGACCTTTGGTGGTCCGTGTAATATTATCCCATCCCAACTGCCAATGGGGAAAGAATGGAAAAGCGCAATTTGCAGCGGCCTCAACAGTTCCAGTTGTCGTTTCTCGCACGCCTCCTCTTCCTCACCCTGGTTATGCTCAGCCCGAAAACTTGCCCGGTGTGACAGTAGAGACTGCAACTTTTCTTCGACATGCTTTCTCCCAGCTGAGCTGGAATTCTTGTCATATGAATCCATTGCCTTAGAAATTTCGCGACTCATCTCGTCATCCTTCTCTTGGTACTGCTCTCGTAGAGTTTTGAACCCGTTGAGTGAGTGTCTCTCAAACTCATTCAGGTAGGCCTTCATCATGCCAAAGACTCGATGAATGGTGGGTTGCGGCGAGACTTGTCCGCTACTACCCGGTCCTGTTGCCATGATCTGGCCTAATCAGACCCAAAGTATCTTCACTCAAATGTCAAATGAGGCGGATTTAGTCTGGTCAGCCTCGGACACGAAAGCACGAGCTCTGAGTTAGCCAAGGAGACTGTATCATAAAGCGGAATATTAAAAGTGTATGTAGTTTTTTTTTCCTGTCGCTCGACAGAAAACGGAGAGTGAGAGGGAACAGAGTGGCGAGGGCATGGTTAGGTATTCGGAACCTCCCATTGCTGATGTTGGCTGTAGAGTGTTGGTTGTGAATATGCCGTTGGTCCTGATTTCCAACTCTTTGGTACTAGGCCGGTGGAGTGTCGTCACCACACCTGCATGGGTGGTTCGCAGCATCGATGTGTCCCGTGAGTAGAATAACTGGCTTTGGGTGGAGATTGGGGGAGTCGATACCCTGCAAGACATCCAGTCTGCCCGGGGAGGCATCCGCTGAGTCGGTTGGTCAAGTTAACTACCTTTGGACCTTTGGTGAATGGTGGTTCGCGCTACAGGATGGATGGGGGGCCAAAGATCTCACCAACTTGCTTGGGTGTTGTAGGTCCCTTGGTCGTTTTCAGTCAATCCACAAATAGAGCCCACTACATAACTGGCTCAGCCAACTCAAGATGCCACGGTAAAGCGGAAGGAGACCACATGGGGTTAGCAACCAAGGGTTGGGTTGGCATGATAAGCATATCAATGTGTTCTGGAGAGAACTGAATCAACCGATAGCTTAAGAGATTATTAGCTGCGGAATGTTCACGTTGGCGGGGCTGCTATGGAGAATGCTACCATATTCAGTAACCAACCCAGCAAAGCGTAAGCGAGGTTGGGGGAATTACGTGACCAAATTCAAGATTGTTTTCATCATTCTCGTCTCTTGAGACCACTCATCATACAAATATCAGGTGACACATTACAGCCGTAAATGGTCACCGGGTAGCAACAAGGAAGGAAAGGGAACCTTGTGTGGAAGGCATCGATAACTGCCTGTTTCATGATTTAAGGTCAGTGATGCGATTGTTCCTGTTTCAATAGTGTCTGCAGTTCCTTTACACTTGGCAATTCAAAGACTATTGCCGAAGATATATCTGTGTATGATACTTATTTATCTTGTCATAATAACTCCAGGTATTTCCCTTTGTTATCATTCGAAAATCAAATTGTGCGTCGAAGCCACCGATGCAAAAGAGCGATAGTATAGGGTAACTTAAAAAAAGACGTTAACACCACACGACGACGTTGATGAATCTTTATTTTAACTCCTACCTAGATAACTCCTGAGTCAACCAGTTTAATGCTTTTTGTAAGTTGCGACCCTAGTCAACCGCCCCCCCCCCGGGACAACGAATTCGCCTGGAACTTCCTTCACCGTGACTTCCACTTCCTCAGCATCAACACCATCGACTACAACTAGCCTATCAACGACAGCTATCCCCACCACTTCGCAATGTGATATCCAGGGTATATCCTCTATCGAACCATATTTTCATACGAACGAGTTTTCAGACTATAATTCCTGTCGTGACCGCTGCCGTCAGGATGCCCAATGCAAAGCATTCCTCCCAAACTATCAGCGCAGATGCTGGCTCTATACAAAGGCCGTTGCGCAGTTTGTTGTAGTCGGTGGGAACACGCCCGAGCTGGTCTATTTCTCAGATAGAGATTGTCCCACCAAGGCCCCTGAACCGCCAAAATGCGATATCCAGGGTCTATCCGCAATTCAATCCTACACCTCGACGAGCGAGTTCTCCGACTACAATTCCTGCCGTGACCGGTGCCGCCAAGACCCGCAATGCAAGGCTTTCCTTCCGAATTATCAACGTAAGTGCTAGCTTTATACTCAGAATGTTGGCCAATTCGTCAGCGTCAGTGGTAACACGCCTGAACTTGCGTACTTTTCGGATAGAGACTGCCCTGCGAAGGCTCCTGATCCACCGCGTTGCAATATTCAGGGCCTTTCAGTAACCCAATCGTATTATTCTACGAATGAAAGTTCCGATTACAACTCTTGTCGCGAGAGGTGCCAGCAAGATGCACAATGCAAAGCATTCCTTCCCAATTACCAAGGGAAATGCTGGCTCTATTCCCAGGCTGTTGCCCAGTTCGTCAGTGTGGGCGGCAATACAGGAACCCTTGCCTACTTCTCTGATAAGGGCTGTCCCGCGCGTCCACCTTCGTGCGAAGTTGCTGGATTTTCGAGTATTCAGGCGTATCTCACAATAGATGCGATCTCCAAATACAACTCTTGCCGTGATAGATGTCTTCAGGACCAGCAGTGCAAAGCTTTCCTTCCTAATCTCGATTCCAAGTGCAGACTTTACAACGCAAAGGTCGAGCAATTTGTCTATGCTACAACTAGCGCTGCGTTATTTTCTGATCATGAATGTTCTGCAAAATATGACATTGTCAAGGACTATTACCGTTGTTACTATCGGGAAGTTTAGGACGAGAGTTGATGTCTTGTTGGTGGCAATCTCGAAATATTGACGTCAATCATAAAGCGCATCCAGGTGTCTTGTACCCGCCCGTCCCTTGACTCAATCTTAGATCAGATTGTATGGCCATCGATCAAGTTTTAGCACAGGAATTGATTCTAGTGTTCTGACTTTGGATGAACAATTTTCTACATAGATTGTGACTGATAAAGGCGTTTGATTTTCTTCAAGCCTTGATATGTTTAGAAGATTCAATTTGATTGTGAATTCTAAATGAGCCTGCAGAAATCATCAAGACTAGCCATGAGAGATCGAAATTATCAGAGATGCATTGGTCTCTGAACCCATACCCGTTGAATCCTTTCCAGCGTGCTAGAGATGTATCATGACAACTCCGAATTAGGGGTAAGCCTCGTTGGACGCTTAGTGGGCCAATGATCATCCAATGCCCTGTCTGACGGGCTGGCTGAGCTTACTTGAAATTTCTTCACCCCGCTGGGCTGATCAGCTTCCTTTCAATCGTGCTCGACATATGCCCACGCAAATAAACACGCCGAAATGTCGCATACCACGTCTTGGGACCTCGCCTATGGCCCTCCCGCTTCCGATCCGCGTAAAGAAAGGGATTATGGGACCTGGCTATGTACGGCTGGGCCATACTTGAGCAAGATCAAAGCAGCCTGTAGTCTTCAGCCTGCTCTTCGTCTCCCAGATCCAAGAAACTATGCCGTCCCGCTATGTAATAGATCCGCTCGAGCCACGTTATTTAGCTTCTCTGAGGATGGTGCTCCTCGGCGCAGCGACTTCATTGGCGTGGAGGGCCCGGAGAAACTGGCGCTTCATTTTCAAAGCTCTCGGCCGGGTCGGAACGTATACTTGTTAGAGGGACTTAATCCGGCGTATATTGCAGTATTTGGCGATGCTCTCCGTATAGATCCAAGGTTCTTCGCCGACCATGACCGCAATTCTGCCGATCTCAGTCTTCCCTTCGAACCAAGCATCATAACTCGGCTGCCTTCACTTTTGAACCAAGACCAGTCAATCATGATGGGGTACCACGAGCTACGGAACCCAGACAGAAGATTCGAATCCTTCAACGTCTCATGCGCTGAGAGTGGGAGAGATATGTGGACAAGTAGGCTTGCACAGGGATGGGAATATCCTATTATTCTTCATCAGAAGTGCTCGGCCTGGACTACTGTGCTCAAGGACCAGGACGCAAACGGCTGGTCAGGTATGTCAAAAGAAGAACCTTCAAAAATAAAATTACTGCTTTGGCAAATGTGTGCCTAACGTCTGAACAGTATTAATACTCTGCGATCCACCGATCAGAAAGGCCCATCTCTGGTCTAAACAAGCATCCTCGAAATGGGAATATGATATGATCAATATGAAGACGACCCCTTTCCAAGGGGGATATGCTGATTTTGTCCCGCGCTCATTTCCTCTACATCCAGATGACCAGTTTCAAGGCCCTCCAAGGGATGGGCTACATGATGACCTTTGTTATTACTTTACCACAGCACACAACACTCTCTCAGAGGGCGTGAAGCTGCCTCACCATGCAACTATCTTCATGAAGAAGATTATAGCATCACACTACCTACAGCTTATATCCTATCACCAGGCCAATTTGGCAACAATGGAATACCCGCTTCAGAGAATAATTGGACTTGGCCAATTGAAAACCACTCAACTTCAACAACAATGGAGTGACATCCAACTCATGTGCGCCCGATGTGCTCACTATCTCAAGACCGCCTCCTCCATTATGACTCAACTAGGCATCCCTCTAGAATATCCGAACAGAGGAAGCATCAACGACACTACATGGACAGAGTCCAACCTAGACTTTCAATACATTCACCACGAACTGAACAGGCTTGTAGAGAGGGCACTATTCTTCAATGATTCACTCACGGGTTTGACGGGGATTGTGGGAAATGAACAAGCATTGTTTGAGACAAGACGGTCTATCCGTGAAGCAAAAGCGGTCAAGGCCTTGACCCTCGTCGGTATGGTGTTCATCCCTTTGGCTTTCACGACTGGTCTTTTTAGCATGTCTGATGAGTATCTGCCTGGGATGGAGAAATTCTGGACCTTTTTCGCAGTGTCGGTGCCATTGGTCTTGTTAGTCTTTATTGGTACAAGTCTATTCGACATTGGGTATGATGCCAGTGGTAGCTGGCATATTGACATTTTCAGAAAACGGCTGTACGAACTGCCGTCCTCACTTTGAGATATCCATCGACATGCGAATCAGTTTCTTTATGTCGAAACTCAGCACTTTATAGCTTGAGATGACATAAGATATTCGCAAAGCAGCAAATCAGACGTACGTGCCTGCGATTCTACTCGAAGGTCGATATTCTATTGTAGTAATACAATGAGCATCAGGTCGCTAAAGACTCAACCGATACCGATCAATATGCCCGTCTTCAGTAGTCCAGTTAGTCAATACCACGGTAGCATTCCGAAAAATCTTGTAAAAGGGCCGAATAGAATGCTTTTATCCGGATCTTTAATGTCTTGGGGGTTCTCTTACAACAATCAGTGTTCTTTCATTCTTGTAACTTGCTGGTTTCAAAAATGATATGCCCAGATGCCGGTGCAATATCTCTTTTAAGATGCCTCAGGTAGACTCAAACGTATGAAAATACTAAGACGTTACCAATGCCTTGTGAACCAAATGCTCTTTCAAGATCAATTCCCCCTCCCGGTTGATCTTCCCCGCACTGATTTGGTAGCTTGCAGGCAAGAATACTACATCGTGACCTCGTTAGCGTACCTTGTGCCGAACGGCCGGTATATGTATCCATGCTACTTTTCATAAGAAATGGCCATGAGAATGTAAAACATCTGCGTCGATTTGAATTCCATACCAAATAGCCCAGGCATAAGATGAACAGATGTGGTACCAAATTCTCCCTCAGTTGTTCATTCTCTCAAGAGCGGCGTCGGCTCTATCTATATCCCCTAGTTCGGAGAACCCTATTGTTGATTTGACCTATGCGAAATATGAAGGTGTTCGTGATAAAGCCTTCGGAATTGACAAGTATCTGGGGATGAGATACGCAGAAGCACCCTTGGGAGATCTCAGATTCCGTGCTCCTCGGGACCCAACAGTTGTTGCGGATATTCAGACCGCCCACGAAGTGAGTTGGAGAGGGATTTTTCCTATGTTCATAGACTGACTATTCTGCGTTACTTAGTTTGGTCCAATATGTCTAGGATCAGACCAAACGCCGAGCGACAACATGAGCGAAGACTGTTTATTTGTGAATGTATTCACGCCGTCCAATGCGACCTCTGACTCGAAGCTTCCAGTGTGGCTTTATATCCAGGGCGGTGGCTACGCGAGCAATGCAGATCATGACTACGATGGATCAATGGTGATTCGAGAATCTGGCTACAACATTCTCTTCGCCAATTTCAATTACAGAGTTGGTGCACTGGGTTTCCTCGCAAGTGAAAAGGTTCGAGCAGACGGAGATCTGAACGTAGGATTGTTGGATCAAAGGAAGCTTCTATGGTGGGTTCAGGAGCACATATCCAAGGTAGGTGCATTCTGGGCTCTTTGAAGAGTAGAATCTAATTCGGTGCTCCGATTTAGTTTGGCGGCGACCCTTCACATGTTGTTATTCACGGGACCTCAGCCGGATCAGGATCGGTAACACACCATCTTACGGCTTATGGGGGTCGAGATGAGGGACTTTTTGTCGGTGCAGCGCCCCAGTCCAAGTTTTGGCCTCCTCAGAGAACTGTTACAGGAGCGGAATTCCAATTCGACCGTTTTGCCAATGACACTGGCTGCAGTGAAGCTCCAGACGTCATGGCATGTCTAAGATCTGCCGACTTGGAGGCAATCGTAGCGGGAGACACTTCGCAACCGTTACCAGGAGCCCCGACAAATGAACCCTTTAATCAGTTCTACTGGCTTCCTGTAGTAGATGGTGATTTTATCCGCAGTTCACTATACGACCAATTCGAACGGGGCCAGTTCGTCAAAGTCCCAGTGCTCGTGGCCAATACCAACGATGAAGCTTCAGTATTTGTCACCAACCCTGCAACAGCCGATGAAATGGCCCTGTTCTTTCGAAACTACTTCCCTAAGCTTACAGAGAGAGAAGTAAAGCAGATTCTACAGACTTATCCCCTCCAAGACCCATTACCTCAACATGAGGCGTGGTACCCATCCCTCTCAGCGGCATACGGAGACTCTATCTTTCTCTGTCCAGGTTACGAGGTCGCCAAGGCCGCGGCCAGACACTTCAGCTCAGATAAAGTGTGGAACTATAGGTTCAACATGCAGGATCCTTCGAACATCCAGGCTGGTCTAGGTACTATCCATGCGGTCGATACAGATGCGATCCTCGGACCCGGATTTGCCGGGGGCTATGCTGAATCGTACCTTGACGTCAACGCACCCATTGTTCCCAATACCATGCATTACTACATCAGCTTCGTTCGATCAGCTGACCCAAACAAGTACAAACATGAGACGGCGCCATTGTGGGAATCATGGGGCAATGGAGGGGACCAGGGACGACGGCTCAAGTTGGAGACGAACTCTACTTTTATGGAGGATATTCCGTCGCTACAGATCCACAGATGCAATTTCTGGCGGGGTCTTGCGAGGCAAATGGAACTATAGTGATTGCTTATGACTTGTTGGTGAATTCAGCTATCACCAAGGCAGCCCCTGTTTTCTTATGAAAATGGGGCGCTTGTGTCTCAATTCCAAAGGTGGACTGGAAATTATTATGTGTAAAAGCCTCCCTATGGCGTGCTCGGTCTATGCTAACTCTCTAAAGGATGAGGTTGCAACTCGTGCTGATACTGGTTGTCGAAATGGGGAGGGAAATTGAATCTTCGACCAGTAGTGTAGCAATAGATGAGCCACCAGGAAGCAGTTCCAAGGGACAGATCTGCCTGAATGTGAAGGATGAAACTTTCCGATTGTTAAGGTTATCGCCAAACTAACGAAGAGTGGTAATGGAACAGAAGATTGACAAGCCTCAAGTGGCGTTATGCTTGACAGCTGGTGTAGCATTTAGAGTTGTTCACGGGCCTACTTCCGTCATAAGATGGCCATCTGCATACTAACTGGGGCAGCGACGTTTCACTGGCATGCAAATTGTCCAAGAGCATAGAAGTCGCCTCCATTCAGTCCAAGTCGATCAAGACGTCCGTTGGCGGCAATTTCCGCGCAGCCGTTATCTCATTCCAACCGTAAACAGCTGAAACTTAGAGTTTGTTCAGATGCATGCTAATACCAAATCCTCGTTTGTTATTCGAATCACTCTATGTACCAAGCTCTTGGAATCCGGGCAGGTCTCTCATCGTCATTTTCGAGTTCCATCGAGGATTGCCTGTAGACCACCTGCGTCATCAGCGTTCCTCTGAAGCCTCTCTTTTGCAAACAGGCAGGTTAGAAGGGTTTGCTTGACGGTTTTCTACCGCTAACCCCAGCATAACGCTCGATGAATTTGCCACAATGAAAACAATTCATCTGTCTTGACTTGGGGATCGGACCCAAATCCGTCAAAAATGTGGCTGCTTCAGATGCCAGTTGCCCAGGAGGTGTAGCAAGTTGTGACGTGACCGATGCACTGACAAACACAATGTAGCCAGTCCTCTGCAAGTCTCATGTTATCCGATATACGTTGTAGAACTCCAAGCCTATTACATCACTTAGATTCTTTGGAATTTAACAGAATCCAATGATCTTTCGTCATCATCATCATCTTGAACATGACGAAATGAGTCTGTCGAATTACCTCAGGGATAAGAATCAAATGGCCGGGTATAAATCAGCACGAACTCTGCCTGCTTTGGAACACATTCACTCAGCCCAAAGCAAATAACAGAGAATCACTCAACTCACTATCACTCCGAAATCTGTCCAATTTCCAAATCGTCTCAAACCAAAATGCGCCCATCCTACACCCTGCTCGCCCTCCTTGGCACCTCGGCATACGCCGCCCTCGTTGTGGAGAGAACCTCAGTCGAGAATGGAAACAATGGCATTCCAAACGGGTCGAAGAATCTCCTTGACTACCTCGGTGGGCTCGGAGACTATATTCAGAAAATAAACAAAGCTCTCCCTGTCAGTGTTGATGTGGACCTTCCTATTCTCCCTGGCAAGCGTGATAATTCTCAGGACTGGATGAACTCCGAAGATGATATCGCCAACTACATCGATCGCCTTCAAGAATACATTCACAAGATCATAGCATCTATCCCAGATGGTGGGACGAAGTTGGATCTTGGCGAACTCGGCATCTCCAAACGCACCTGGGGAAATGGATATCACCGTAATGGGGGCAACTGGAACAAGAATGATAATTCCAATGGAGGGAATGGCCAGGGTGACAACAACCAGGGCGGCAATGGTCAAGGTCCGAGCAATAATGGTCAAAACCCCAACCCCTGGCAGAATCTCAACTGGGATAACGTTGATCTCAGTGACCTCAACGGCAATTTCCGTGATCTGCTCAAGAAGATCGGTATCAACGTCAACGTACCAGGCAACGGCGGTCTGTCTCTTGACCTCGGTGGACTGTCCGTTGAGTGAGCGTTGCCACCCATTGGACTCCTATCAAGTCAGGCTTATTCAATTTTTGACTTTCTAAGGTGTTTCCTTGCAAATAAGTGGACTTGCTGGTGTGGGAAAGGCAGCCAGGGCCTTGCGAATGCAGAATTGTAGAACACTCTTTATACTAGCTTTGGATAATTTGCCTTATCAATTAAAGACATCTTTATTTATACCTGACTTTCTCTCAACTTCACGTACACCAGTCCTTCACATCAGTTCTTCGCGAGATAGGGACTATAAATGTTCTATTGAATTGCCCAAGAGGAGTACTAGCATCTTATCTAGCCGACATCATATGATAGTCCACTCATATGTAGGAATAATCCGTACACTAGATACTATCTTTCTTTTTAAATTGGATAAATAAAGAAGGGGTTCTCCATATCCGTAAGATCCAACATAGCAATATCAACCTTTCGGGTCACCAAGTTGCCACTCTCATCAAGTTGCTCTACCTCTCCTTGCTGTTTCTCTATCCTCTCTTCCTCTGTCAGGCTATCAATCCATTGTTGCTTAGCCTTGTTTCGTCGCCTGAGGACGAATTGGATGATGAAGAGAATCAGGGGAGTGCCGAACCAGCTGACGACGATCTGGGTAATCCAAGCGCCATAATACCGCGGGGCATCCTTGGGTACCCAAATCTGAGGCGAGCATAGATTAGCCACACTGTATCCAACCATGAACATGACGTTTCTAGTCAGCTTCTTGGTGTATCCGGCGGCCGAGGACGTGGTCCAGCCAAGAGCGATGATATATGTGTTGCCGTAGGTGTGCCCAGCGAGAAGCAAGCATGCGAGCATTCCGAGCTTCTGATCCCAGGCCATTGACACCATACCGATACCTCCAGCGATAGCAGGTACGCACCAGACCAGACCGTGAAGAGCAAGGTTTGACGGCCATAGTCGGAGAGCGATGGTCCCGGCAATGCAAACCAGGACGCCGAATCCACCACCTGCGGCAGCCACTAGGGTTGAGCCCAGATTATCCACACCGAGTGCCGTGGTGATGAGATTCTGCTGTCCGTAGGTCAAGTTGTTCGACATCATCAAGGTGAATGCCTGGAGACAGAACAGCCACGAGACAGGATCCCTAATTGTCTCCAAGAACTGAGTCTTCTTAAATTGCTTCTGCTCAATAGAACTCTGGCTCGATTTTTGCACACGCTGGATAGTGTGGACCCTCTGCTCCAAGGTGAGGAACTTGGCATCTCCGGGGTTGTTGGGATAGTAGAACCAGGTGACGATGGAAAGTAAGATGGACACTCCACCCGTGATGATCATGAAGAGTTTCCACGGAAGAACATGGCTATGGGTCCAGAGCAGGCCGTATGAGATAAAGGCAGCACACACGGGGGCCAATTGAGTCGTCACCCAAAAGACGGGTTGCAGGAAGGACTGTTCTTTGCGGTTGAAGAACATTCCAATTGTCATCTCCATAGCAGGAACAACGACGGACTCGCAGGCGCCAAGCACGATACGAAGGACGACCAAGCCGGCAAATTTAGTTGCAACGCAGTGCAATAAGAGCGCGACACCCCACATGAAGACCAGAACTGCGATGAATTTGCCGAAGGGCAGCTTCTGCATCGCATAATGCCCTGGCCATTGTGCAGCAAGATAACCTAAACGCAGAGAGGTGAGTGTGAAAGTCTAGGCAGGGCTTCGGGAAAGGGAGAGAACATACCAACATAGAAGAATGTTCCGAGATCGTTGTACTGAGCTTTGGTGATGCCAGTCTCTTCAAATAAGCCTAGAATGGCGGCGTATCCGAGGGTTGATTTATCGATCTTGAAACATGTCAGCATCTTGCCGTCAATCCGGGATGTTAAGGCAGAGTCTTACAAAAAGCAAGAGGTTTATAGCTGAGATTAAACCCATCATATACAGGTAGAGCTTGAACCGCAGCTTTGACTCCTTTTCGGGTGTCAGAGGGCCAACTTGATCACCATACTCCTCGACCAGCCGCAATGTTTCGTCGGCATATTTCTCGGAGAGGACTGGCTTTGGACGGTCGGCCTGAACAACAGACTGAACGGCCCCTTTGGGTTCTTGGGACTGTGTATCCGACATTTTCACCAATCTCGCCAAAGATACGCGAAGGATGCAACCGGACCAATGTAGATGGAAGAGATGTGTGAAGATCCAACGTAGCAATGATCGGGGGCTTACGGGAGACGGACGATCTTTATAAAACGGCTGCAGAATACATCTTTTCTCCACCAAATAACGCTCTTCAAACAATCTCCACTGATTAAAGAGAGTTCACCATGCTCTCTCTCACCATCTACAGCGATGGCCGGTCGATTTTCGCCGCTCTGCATGTTTTGGACACGGAAAGTGGGCAGATGAATCATTGCGCCAAGAGGTGGGCCGCTTGCGTGATGGGATGCCTGCGAGTGTGACAGAAAGAATCAGCAAAGACGTCCAAGAATGGAAGATCGAGTTTCTGGATGGGCGGAAACCCGGAGGAATAATGCGTGCTTATTGGTGGCTGGGAGGCAGATAGCCGGGCTGCCCCTGCGATTCAACCTTCAGAACTGCTAGTTCAGTCAATATAGTGACCTTCAAATGCGTCGATGTGTTTGAATCGGCCCCATCCCGGTGGCCTGGTCCCGGTTGAGGTCAGACTACTACCGACGGATCGGAGCAGAAACACAAGAAGAAAACTGACATATCCATCCAGGTACATTCTGTCTTGAATCCTGATGGTCACACTTAGAGACATTCCGGGGGAGGATATTCCTTATCAAAACTGGTCTGCTTGTCCAAATGGAAAGGGATCTCTACTTTCTTTGCCCCAAGTTGATATGGGCGGGCGAAACATCCATTCATGCAGCTTCAGAGGGTCCGTTACCGGCTGGATCCATCAGAAACCCCCGGCTCTGGGTTTAGTGTGTCAAATTCTTCTAGACGAGACCAGGGTTTGAGCACGCCATCGGCTGGGCTGGCGCTGCATTGCCGTCTTCCGAAGGCCTCCCGCTTCTTGGCCTTCTAGCTTGGTTAGCTTTCAATAGCAAGTGACTACGCGATAGCCGGTAGCTTGCAGCTGCGGCAGAGCCTCAGTCCTGTCGGACACGTCCAAGGTTCCATTTTGCGAGTACATGATTGGACCGTGTAGAAAGACTAAGATCGGAGCCATGAGCACTATCCGATCTATCTAAGGTCTAGATCAACTAGAATTTTCTAGCGTGCGGAATACGACTTTTCATCCGCACGAGGCTTGGCGATGGAAAACCGACTCTAAATGTCCATTTGGATTACCATAGCTGTCCATACATAACGAATGAATTTCAGGAGGAACTTTCCCTGTCCTCCTGAGGATGCCCATTTCTTCGGGCATTCTGAACGTATGGTAAACACGTGCCAGAAACTCTACGAAGCTGTCAGGCATTGAAGGGATCAAGTCTTTGTTAAAACTACTTCGACAGTAGAATAGCAGCCTTGAGAGTCAGGTGGAGTAAATGCATGCAAAAAGAAGTACAGAATCTAACGGATTCCTTTGTCTACTTCATGCACATCAAATATGACGCGCTACATCCGGCTTTCTAGTTTGTTAATAACCCAAACCAGTTTTCTTATCAAGAACACTTATTTTTATGACCTCACAAGACAGATTATGCCCCTTAGATACCGTCATCAGCTATCAAGTCCTTGAGCTCCACCCCTAATCCATCATACATAAGCATTTAGAGATCATGAAGAGGCGAAAATCAGACATGGGGGGAGCTTGATTTCTCATCATTAGACAAATGCAAATGGTCCAGACACATGTACCAACATAATCAACATTCCATGGCTTTATATACTCTCTCTTAGAGACATGATAGTAAGCAGGTTACCAAGAGTGTAAGGTAGAGAGGATGACAGTGAACTATTTGGAAAGGCTGAAGCGGTTTCCCACCTCTTCGCTCAATTTTCCAATCAAGACCCGGTCAAGGAGTATGATGCTGAAATATGAAGGACCATGAGATTCCTACCCCAAGTGGAAGATGTAAGCTTTCGATGTCTTCATCCATTTTGTATTTCCGGACTAGCAAAAGATCAAGTCTTTGAAAGAGGATACGATAAACTTCGTTGAAGGCTCACGCTCTCACTAGCTTGAGCAACCTGCAACTTGAGGTAGGTAGAGTGAATATAGGCATGTACCTCCTTCCTGGGTTTTCATAGGTTACTTTCGGCTATTTACAAGGTCATCGTGAGAATTCTCATTCTCGATGCGCCAGTAGCAAGGTAACTTCTTTCAGAAATATTCTTAATATTTAAGCGATAGCTCTAGGAAACATTCCAATTCCATGTTCTGAGTCCCTTTATAGTATGAAGCTCAATGGACCGCTTGCATAAAACTATTAACGCAGCTATCTCTTGGCTTGAACCCGGACATGGTTGAACCATTCACTTGATAGGCGCAACATCGTATGAAACCTCGTGAGAAACTATTGATGCCAAGTCGGTGACACCAACAAGAACATTTTACATTTGTGCCTTTATCGGCAACAAAATATGAAAACAGTAAAGACATTCTTGCTAGGTGCAATTGACAGTTTCATAGTTGGATCATCGCAACCTATCGGAGCACGTGCAAGTTGCAATGGGGAGAGCGCCGTCCTTGAATATTTACACGGGTGGAATTAATGGCACGTTTTATTCCAATCAAACAGACTATTGCCTTGAATAATTAAAGATGAAACGGCACGTGCCGGGATCTGGCCCCATGCATGAAGATATTGGTAGCACATCCTTGGTTTTAGCCGCACCGCGCGTGAGTGACTGTAGCAGCAGAAACAGCCAAAATACCGCCACGTTACAGCTGACGTAGTGCCTCGATCCGCCTCTCCACCGCGTTCTGCATTTCCATCTCCAAAACACCAAACAAACTCTCATCAACAATCCACGCACAGCCATCATAAGCCTTCATCCAGAGAGACGCTCATAAATAGTCAACGGCAGCGTAGCAGGAGCAGTCATGGACAAGTACGAGGA